GTGTGTGTGTGTGTGTGTGTGTGTGTGTGTGTGTGTGTGTGTGTGTCTGTGTGTGTGTGTGTGTGTGTGTGTGTGTGTGTGTGCGTGTGTGTATGTGTGTGTGTGTGTGCGTGTGGGTGTGCGTGTTCTCCCAATCTCGTCGCGGCCATGTAACACACGGGACGCGCTGTCTATGTGGTTGTGGTCCGTCGCGGACCGACAGCCCCGGTGGGCGTGCGACGCGAGACCACGAGCGACCGCGTCGCAAGAAATAATGAAACCTGGTGAGAAGAGCGTCATCAGCAGGCATCAGCAGTCGCATGCGAGATGCATTCTCTGTTGAAATATTTAGCTGTGACGTATATCTCACGTCACCCGTTCGCCCGAATGTGCTGTAGCTAACCCGGATGTGCTTTAGCTAACCCGGATGTGCTGTAGCTAACCCGGATGTGCTGTAGCTAACCCGGATGTGCTGTAGCTAACCCGGATGTGCTGTAGCTAACCCGGATGTGTTGTAGCTAACTCGGATGTGCTGTAGCTAACTTGGATACGGAGAAAGGTAGAGGTAGGTAGAAGTGCTTAAGCAAACTAACAAACTAGACAGAGGGCACTCATCAGCAGCAGCTCGCCTTAGGGCGTCCAGTCAGCAGCAGCCAGCAGCGAGCCAGCTGTTATACACATACATGTTACACGCTCGCGGAGGTATGCACTTTCCGTCGATCGCGCAAACACTAGTGGCTACACACACACACGAACACACACACGCGAGCGATTGCATGACCTCCGTTTGCGCGGAGGTAAAAAGCATCGCATACAGTTGACCACTCTATGTTACTATCCAAACTAAAAGCAATTGGTCTACAGTACAAGGTCGTGAAATGCTTGCAGGCCTATCTGTGCAGAAGAAGCAAGATGACACATGTGCGATGCCGTCTCATCTGGAGTTGCTATTTCTAATATATATATGTCAATGATATTGCAGCCGCTGTAAAAAATAAGCTGTTATTGTATGGTGATGACTGGGCGCTGTTAGCATTACGAAGTCACATTGACGTTGACCAGGAGAAATTCAAATTGTATGCAGACCTACGAATACTTCTATTACATAATTACTATTAGTATTACTACAAGTACATGTTACAATAATTAGTAGTAGTAGTAGTACTACTATTACTACTAGCTCCAAGAAACGGTATTGCTAGGGTTAGAATATCCTATATTGACGTTAGTCACACAGCCTGGTCGGGTTACTAGACTAAATACTAGTACTAGACTAAGTTACTACTATATCATGCCACTAGAGCTACTAGAGACTACTAGTACTACTACTAATACTATATAGTATAGTACTAGAGCTAGTACTACTACTAGCTGCAACAAACGGTATTTGCAAGGGTTAGAAGACCTGTGTAAACACAATTTGTTGTGTAGTAGAGTAACAGTAAACAACACCGACGTCCGTACTACTGAGTACTGGAGTGGTAGACGTTCGCCACGTTGGCGTGGTAGACGTTCGATGGAAAGTAATCTTTGCTGCTTTTGACTCGTCACATCGAACAACCTTACAGTTCTATGCACTACAACACAGTGGCATGATATATGTGTAGCGACGCTGCGCTACAGCTCATTAATTAGGCACATTGCCGAGCGAAAAGAGAGCAGGCAACAGCCGGTAGCGGGTGCGACAGGTGGCATAGGTGTCGAACGGTGACTAGAGAGAATGGTCGCTTAAGAGAGCAGAGAGCGGGGTACGTGACACGCGACACTATGGGATGCGGCCCTCGCTAGACGGGGGTCGGCAGAATAGGAACCTGGACAACCCAAGAGGTGACAGGATAATGCCCGGATGAAGGGCACAGGGATCGCCGGTGTATATAAGGCGAGCGGCACGCGGACACGGGAAACCCTACTCGCTCTATCCCCGTGTCATCATCTGTCACAGTTGTATTTGTACGCTACGTGTTGTATTCACCTTGTAATGGCTAACAATACAGTCGCTTGTGGTACGTTACTCCTCTAGTTGGCGTTTGCTTTATGTCTACCGCACCCTGTACTCTGCTATCTAACCTACCTCACCTACCACACCTAATTGTAGCCGCACATCGAGGCTACATATGCATGGATGCAATATCGATGGATATGTATGAATCCGAAAGTATATATGCTCTATGCTCTATGCCTAGCTCTATGCTATATGTAGATGCTGTAACTATGTCGTCATCATCGGAAAAATCAGAACATCCGGTCCATCATGGATACAGATCCGGTCTATCATCGATAGAGCTAGACTGGTACGAACCTTCACTCCGCCAAGTATCCTTGGCTACACTGAACTTATAGTTAGTGCAGCGTGTGCACCGGCAGCAGTCTAGCAGCCGCGTGAAGAAAAACTGCGTGAAAATGCCATGAACTCGAATATCGTGACCGTACGTCGAGCGGTTAAGATTTGTGCCCAACTGTTGACGGACGGACGGACGGACGGACGACCGGACGACCGGACGGACGGACGATCATGCGATTCTACAAGCTGCATCTGACTATGTCAGATGAGCTAAAAATCTCGAGCATTTCACAATAATATAAATTGATGTTAGTTATAAATACTTTAGCAATCCATCGCTTTGCGCTTAATCTCTCAATGATTAAATTTGGAATCACAATAAAATAAAATGCACCTGAAAAAATCCACTTTTATTTCATGATATAATAATATCAAACAACAAAACACTTATCTATATAGCTAACTGCTTCACCTTGTAGGACTGACAGTGACATCAGGAGAGCATAATTAATATAGACATATCTATATTATACCGATTGCCGATATAGCCATGCAATGCAATGCAAAATTCAATATATATGCATTTGTATTCTTATATCAATATCCATGTATACTAGAGGGTGAATGATCTACATTCAACCCTGAAGTATATCAACATTGATACATGCACTCTGCTCCAACTTAACATTTATAACCAACGGTGACGCCACCTGGCAATAAGCGAGCGGCGCTAGCTGGGTATCTGCGAGCCGCAGTTGCCGTGGTAGACCATGACATCGCCCTCGCACGTAAAGTACTGCTCGAAGATGTCCGTGTAGCCATGGTCCCGCCACCAGGTGCACAGCTGATAGTTCCAGGTGCACGGCAGCGTGTAGAACAAGTCCTCGTGCTCCAGGCTGATCAACGTAAAGAAATCCTGGTCGCCGAGGTGGCCCTTGAACGAGTACTTCGCCGCCAGGTCGCTGATGACGCTCGCGTTCAGCAAGTCGTTGTACTCGCGCGATCGCCGCATGCGATCCAAGTCGAGCAGCACGACGCCGCTGTTGTACCCCGTCAGGCCGCCAGGGGGCGGGCCGCCGACGCGCGTGCCCGGATGCCGGCCGCGGTACGCGCTGAACGTGTGTCGGTAGACGGGCTGCATCTCGTGCGCCATGCCCATCACGTGGCCGTCCTTGAAGCGGGCGAAGTGATCGTAGAGGGCGCCGATGTCACCGCGGAACTCGAGGTCGCTGTCGAGCATGATGACGCGGCGCAGGTCGAGCACGCGGTGCAGCGCAACCGACAGGAAGAACAGCGCGTCGCTGTAGTAGGCGCCCGGCTTGTAGCTAAAATGAGCCTGCAGGTGCGACACGAGCCCGTGCAGCTGCCGCGCCATCTCCGACACGCTGTGCGCGCGCACGCGGTACGGCGGCGTCGTCGCCGCGATGCGACCCGGCTCGGCGAGCTCGCGGAAGGCGTCGGCGGCGACGGCCGCGCTCTCGTCGTCGCTCACCAGGTGGTAGTGTATCGGCACGGACGCGTGGCGCAGCATCGACGCGACGCACGTCCGGAAGCGCGCCGCCAGCTTCGCGTTGCCCTTCGCCTTCGTGAACAGGATGAGCACGTCGATGTAGCGCGAGTCGTTCGCCGCCGCGGACGCAGGACTCGGCGCGACGGGCGCGCGCGGGCGAGGCGCGTCCGCCGCCGAATGCGCCGCGTCGCTCTGACTGGCGAAGGCCGCCTGCTCGCGGAGATACGTCGCAACGACGGGGTCGTCCGATTCGTACGAGGCGCCCAATCCCCTGTCGGCGCGGAGCGAAGACAAGCCGTACCACAGCACGAGCACGGCGAGAGCTATTGCCCACAGCTTCGCCGCCCACCTGGTCACGCGTCTGAAGCGCATGCAGCCATTTCTGAATTCCATTATTGTTCGTTATTTGCTTTGCTATAGACGATAATTGCTTTATAACAAGTACACAGAAAATACAGCAGGAATGCAGAGGGGTACAAAGCACCAGCGAGTTTCTATGCTATTATCACGTATAGTCACTAAAATGCAAATTTATGTTGTTTTACCACAGTCACTGTATAGCACACAGGACGAAACTATGCCAGATGCACCACAGTAAAAGCTAATGCATGCATAACACCTACGGACAGCAAATCATAGGTCCTAGTATTCTGCACCACGATCTTCCTTATAAAGGAAATATACTTTGACAGGTCCACACGACGTTTTCACCACCTCTTCATGATTCACAAGAAACCAGGTACCAACACCATAGGCCAGTGTTGGAATACCTTAAATGGGAAAAGGTGCATGTGATTAGGAAATAAACAAGATTGTCAATACGATAATGTGAATAAGAAATTCAAATGCAATGTCATACTATAACAGAATGACGACTGAACAAGTTAAAGCGCCGTAATATGTAAACAAATGTAATGACGTAGCACCACACACATATTGCGCTAAATATCTTCAAGTGCAAATAACACAGCTTTATAACTAGAATAGAATTAGTATACAACACATGTATGATGCACTTAATATATTTTTCTAAACATACCAAGATTCAGCACTTTAAGCAAGGTGAAAAGATTGTTCTCTAGAGTAAGATCCTGATATGGGCGCCTTGTGCAGTGGTACTTGATGAAAGGGTAACATCCAGTTCTCAGTATGTGGTAGTTTGCATCGTCAACTTGCCAGTTAAAGTGCGACAGCCCGAACTGGTCATTCTTCACACTGTTGTACCTATTACAGCAAATTATCACGTTAATGGCAGTATATACGCACACTTTATAGTCACAAAACCCCATAGTAGTAACTCTGCTGTTCATATTAAGGTTGACATATCACAGACATTGAACAGTTTGGCGATTATACTCTCCCTTGCTAACCTTTGAATTCAGAACAGTTTACAATGAAGCATAAGACCATTTGCTTCCTATCACATATGTAGAGTACAGTATGGATTGTTATTGTCAATGAAACCAAGTTGGTGGAACATGTCTGTAGTATATGATGTGGTCTGTCCAAAACTGGTTGATCTTATAGTGAAGCACTATATCAAAGAGCAATATTGGCCCAGTATATACTGGGTTTAAAGCTGAACAGACACATGACAGTTTTTAACACATACCACTCATGTCACTACTTCCCCACTAAAGGTACAAGCTTGCAATAGCACATGTATCATTGTATGGCCTCATTTTAATATTGTACATTTAGACTTGATTAAATATACATTATATCAGGAGTGTGTATATAGATCCTATATTATACACTCCTGATTATATGTAAAACAGGTACAAAATCAGCTCAGGATTATGTTTGTTGACTTTATTCTAAGCTTTTATCCAGATGAGACGGGATACTAGAGAAGCGTTGCCGAATGGAGGTGTTGATCCGAAGCGCTGAGCGCAGATCTTGCGCGCAGTTCCGCGGGAAGGCGCACGCGACCGCGGGAACGTCCTACGACAGTATGCAGCGCTGGCAGTGGCAGCTATGGATCCGTGCGCCGAATGCATAGGCCGGCACACGGATCCATAGCTGCCAGCGAGCAGTCGATAATTTTACCGGGAATACAATGGAACAGCTCAGCTGCAATGAGCTGCTGTTCTTTGCAAGTTCAAAGAAAATATCAATAAAAGTGTCAACACCTTCTACTTCTACACTGTGTTGTATAACTTTTATTATGAATTGTATTTTATTATGCGTCAGCGGCTTCATGTAACGAGCGGCAGCTGCAGCGGATACATAAGCTGGGTTTTATAATAATACATGCGGAAATAATACGCCTCTATTCATGTAAATAGAAATGTTCATCTATATACAAACAATGACGACGTAATAATGACAAAAGGCGATATGTTCGAAAATAATGTCAGGGCATGAAACACCAAAAATGGTAACTCGGTTTTCTAAAGGAAAACCAAGCGCGCCGACCAGCAAACGAACAATTACGACCATTTCTATGAAATGTCTACCTACGTGCGTAGTGAAAAGGCTTGTGGAATCGCCACAACTGCTGAATTGAGCGATTATACGGTCCATGAGGTCATTCTACACATACAGCCTTCATTCAGTTAACGGATGACATTGCCAATGAAGCAGATAAACGGTATTTCACTGGGATGCTAGTTTTACATATAGAACTAGACAGCGGGCACTCTCGGAAAGTGCATACCTCCGCGAGCGTGTAACATGTATGTGTATA